GTGTCAGTGCAGTTTGTAGTGGTGTACTGGCAGTCATTGAAAGAGCGGACCAGCATGTAGTCGGAAGCCATGGTGCCACTCGGAAGATTAGGTGCAAAAGATACACCCATACCGTAATACGGATAGAGTACTTTGAAATTCGCATGGACCGTACCAATCAGCATGAAGTTCATGCTCTTATTGGTTGTCCGAGGAGTGACAGAGCTTAAATCGACAGCAACCTCAGTTATGACCAATTCCCAACGTCCTGATGGCGCCCCAGTAATAGGCATGAATGTAATGGTATTGGTTCTCGCACCAAGAGTCGCCGGCCAGCCAGGGATGAGGTCTCCTTTATGATAGTACGATGCGGAGAGGTTCAAGCCACTTAGTGTTTGGTCATTTTTAACTTCGCAGGTGTATGGGATGTTGGAAGCACTGAGTATAACGCTGGGAAAGCAGTTCGTGAGTGTCACCGAGGGATCGTCGTCGGCTGCAGGTGTGGCCATTCTCGTTCGGGTGGCCATGCCACCATCCGCAGCAGCACAGGAAAGAAACGGTTCAGCCACAACCATCAGTACCAGAAACAACACCTGGATGTCTCTCAACTGCAGCCCCATAGATGCCTGCAGTCTCGTCTTCCTTCTGCCTCTACGCAGGACTGAAACAGGTTCGCATAGGTTCATGGCACCGAGACTGCAACTGTCAATGCTCTTTGGTATCTTGGAATACCGTAGATGTGCCAATTGCGATTTCCCTTCCCTGTGCGCCATGTTCAACGTTTGTCTGATTCGATATTGGTGCTGCAGGTGTTGTTAGATAATTCCCTTAATTCGGAATGGGTAGGAGCAAAAAGGCAGCTAATAGAATACAGAGCGCAGAGGATTAACAACAAGCATGCTTCTACAAGGGACGCATCCACATTTTTATTCTTCGCTGAACATATATACAAGTCCCTTCGTTGGGGTTTCACTTCAATCTTACGCTGAGCCAGCCAATTGTGTTTTTTGATTCAGTCACTGTGTGCTAGCAGGCACTCTCAGCATCCTCTTTTACCCATATCTCCCTCGCTCACACCTTCACGCATGCAATGCAAAGGCATCCAGGCACACCCAACTTCCCAGAGTCCCCGCGCCACCTCAAAACCCCACACATCGCCGCCACAGCTCGCGCCGTCACGTCTGCGTCGCTCATGTCATTCATGGGGAATATGTGCTGTGGAACCGTCCGCCATAAATGATTCACCACGCTATTACCCTGCGGTGCTCGTTTCAATCACGGTGATGCGAAAAGGCAAGATGCATTCATCAGGAGGTTTGCACATCATCGAGTAAGCCACCACCTCTCAACTGCATCTTTTGGGCGTCGTGGTTGCATGTCACATTTCATCAGAGTCACCGAACAGGGCCCAGAACACTCTGTTGTTCATCCTGCAAGGTGGGAGCAACACGAGGAGGAGCCAGAAGCGTGCTCTGATCGCAGAGGTGAAGCGTATCTGCACACCGATGTGTTATCAGCCCCTCTGCTCCTTCAGGCAAACTCACACGGGCCACACATCGGTTGGGGCATCAATCATAGCTCATTCACCCATCCAAACAAAATTCCCCTCGCCACCCAACACAACCAAGAGGCAAAAAAACAATGCCACCACTTAACGCCCACTCATTGACGTTACACCTCAAACACTAATGTCCTGCCGGGCATCATCGCTACTGAGACTTTTAGGCACACACTGATGATTTCGAGTGGTGAAATTGACGCTTGGGAGAGTGGCAACTACTAACCCTACCACTGCAGAGGACACCGAGCACCACACACACACATAAAGCAATAGAAACTGTAGAAAAGCACCAACTCCACGTGAGCAAACCACGCAATCAGTCAAGCGTACCAGAAATCCGCACCACCGCGGGAATCACACAGCAACCTCGACAACTCTTCACTCGAAATAGAAGCTATGCTCAAACCAAACGAGCGCGCAGCAGTTGCAGGTGGGTGGTGCTTTCTGCACCTGCTGTGTGGGGCTCTGCACAGAAAAGCAAGAGACTCCTCCATCTTTGCAAACAGTCTGGGAAACACATCTGAAAGCCTCAGTACACACCGCAGTTGAGATGACGCCTTGTGTGAGTGTGAGTTGGCTCTGCATCTCCATTTCTTTTTCGCATGTTGCGTGACTCTTTATAGCACCCATTGGGTAGTGTCGAAGCACGTCTCTCTGTGAGTGAAATCAGCGTCGTCGACGAATCCGTCCCTCGACTGCGACACAGGAAGCGCACAGGTGTCTTCGCATTTCTCCCACTCCATGCGTTGGGCACACACTTCCCCAGCGAGACCTCTCCCGCACCCACCAGTCTAACACACACACACACACACAAGCATCCGTCGCACACGTTTTCACAATGAGCCTCGTAGCAAGAGCAGCAGAGGCCCATCGTGCAGCCGCCAGGCGTCTCTGCGGAGCGAAAGAAAAGAACCAGTCTGAGCCTGCGTCCTCCTGCTGGTCCAATTCTTTCACTCCCTATTTGATGCAGTGGAGCAAAGGGCGCATGCTTCAATATTGCAGAAGAACAATTCCGAGAGCGCAACGCACCGTGAAGGAGGGCACACAACTCTTGCTGCCATCCGTTGCGGTTCTGTGCCCGCACCTCGATGAGAAATGCCGTCGCGTCTGCCATGCACCTCACCGCTGGTATGTTTTTCGTTGTCTGAAACGTATGCTGTGAAGAATGCCTTACCCTTGGAATGTATATCACCATTACGGTCATTCAGTTCGTCCCTTTAGCACACCTCACCCAAGTATCGTGATGCATATCGTCTTTGCAGTCAGTGGGCCATCACAGAGACGCCATTACTTCTCACGAGGAGAAAGCTGCACAGATATGAAATCCAAGAGTGTCTCTTCACAGAACGTCCATCTCGCCCGCCGCAATGAGCTGCTGCACTTCATTTGCCACAAGACCGTAACACTGAGTCTCCACGACACCCCCAGCCGTGACCACAAACCTCCTTATTCGAATAAGACGTCCTCGAACATCAAACACACGCACACATAATCAGAAGAGGAATGAGACTATTGCGCAGTGAAAAAAAAACTGGTTGCTTCAGTTCACAGTTCGCCACGCATCCTCATCAGACTCATGTTTGCACAGAGAATCCAAAGAGAGGTCGTGCCTGGTGGCGCAGCAAGCGCTACTCTGGCACCTTTGAGCAATCTATGGAAATGGGAAATCGCCGGTAATGCAGAGCACCGAGTAGAGTTCTTGTGTGGTTCAAGGCCATGCAGCCTTCCCAGGGTGTAGCCAACGGGGCGTCCATATGGGTCGTGCATGCTGTGCGAACCCTCGTACGGCACACCTGAAGACCGAAGCCTCCAGAAGAGAGCGTTATGGAAGTGCCAAGTACCACCTGCTTGTATTCCCCTCAGGCGTGAGAGTTTGTTCGGTGGGTTTGTGTCGTTTGGAGTATTCGTCACCTCACCGTGTCGCCACCACCTTCTTCACTGCCCCTACTCGACCTGGAATGGATGTGATCAGCATGGAGGGTCTGCGGGCGACGAGATGAAGGATGGCATCAGCTAAATACTCCATCGAGCTTCTCATTGCCCGCTTTTTTTTCTATCTTCATTGAGGCGGTGGACAACAAGGTCCCCTTCACACCGGCTCCCAACAAACGCCCGCACAGCTCACCCTAACAGATTCCGAGAAAGTGCCCAGCCAGTGGCAGCTGTTGGGCATTGCAGTGTAAACACACTGGTGGCAGGATCTACAAAGAAACGCAACGTTTCCACTCTTTCTGCGGACCCAACACCCACAACCAAAGGAATAACGAGAGAAGCAAGAATCCGAGCCCCACAGAGAAGGCCATCGCATGCACTCGCATCCATGATTCTCAATAAAGAAAGTGTGCTTTACGTCTCTATGGCACTCTGAGGCGTGCAGGGATCTATGCCACTCCAGCAAGCACACTTTGGGCACATTTCCATGTATTAGCTGTCGACTGATGTAATCTTCCTCCAAGTGCTCTCAGGGAAAGCGTTAACGGATGCGCCCATCTGGTGTCACAGACCTTCTGTACACCATCAGCACATTGGTGACTATAGCCGGCATGAGAGTGCACTGCTGGCTCCCCGGAATGTCCAATTAACGCAGAAAACATGAGCCACCAGTGAAGATAATGGGCACATGCACTCCATACTTTATCCAATAGCTCTGGTCACACACGAGAAAGTCGATTAAGCGCCCTCTTTCGCTCATCAAGGCTATGTAGCTGTGCTTCCAGAAGAAGTGCTGTGGAGTCACAGCTCGACAGACGGGAAGAATCCATCTCCGCAATGCTCTCCTTCTTATTGGCAGCACGGGAGCACTCCGCTCTCCTTCCACGGGCAGTCATCCTGCTCAGGAGGTCAAACAACTCTATGCATGTTTTAATCTTCGCGGAGGCATATTTCGTCGCTCTAAACTGCATAGCCGTTATGGAAGGCTTACGGCCATATTCCTGCATCAGCACACGCAAGACAGAGTGTGCGAGAGCCCCATCATCGCCCTCCACGCAGAGCCAGGGGTATTTGTGCAGCAATGCAGCTGTGGCGTGTGGAAACGCTGCAAGAATGCTACGCATAAACCCTGCGTAGCAGTGCGGGTCCCCTCTGTACACGTCCTCCTCGCACACGGCGTCCCACCCGTCAAACCCAATGGACACCAGTCGCCGGTGCAAAAGAGAAAACGTTACCTGGTCCATTTTTTTTTTTTTTCCTGGTGCTACAAGAACGTGGAAACACTGAGAAGGGAGAGGGCAATTATAATTAACAAAACTCAGCACAGGCACAATGGCCACATGGATTAAACCTTTGGATCTTCCACCTTGCGCGGATGGCATTTTTTTTTTTTTGCCTTCCATCCCCACACACAGCAAACAACAACAGTTACACACCGCACGCGAGCACCGGGTCGGCCTGGCGAGTGCACCCACTCCCCAGCACGAAGCCCTAGAAGCACCTCCAACTTACGTTGCGTCTCTCGAATGCATTGCCGGAAACCCCAATCATCCCACGAAAAGCGCGCAGAAACGCCTGATGTTGCATCGGTGCAGGAATCAACAAACTTCCCGCATTCCGATCAACAGAGGTGACGCTGCGGGCACCAGGTGATGGACAAGAATGACTGATGTCCACTCGCCAACTCGCACGGAGCATAAACACTATGGAATCACTCGCAGCATTTATGCAGCGGCCAATAAACGAAGCGCTTTCACCACCCGACGCAGAAACAACAGCCCCGCAGAAGCTACCACGCTCTAACATTATAGCACATATGATTTCACATAACCGTGCGCCTCAAGGGGGGCCCGCATGGTCCCTTTCGCTTCTACAACGTGGAGAAGAGAAGGAAAGATGGACGCGCACCGGCCAGTTGCTTCTGTGTGGTGGATTCTGTGCGGGTACTTACGAAGCGTCGGCTTTCGGGGCCCTGCAGCCACACGGCTCCTCTGCGAGGCGGTGTTTTAAGCGGAGCGGGGAGGACGAAAGGAAAAAGGCAGAAAGGAACCGAACGCACCTGCCCTCCTCAAGTGCAGTCACAAACGATGATAAAATCAAATTTAAAAATGGGCAACCGAAAGCGCAGCAATGAAACCATGAGACATATAGCTGATCGCCTTCTCTCTGCACGCAGTTTTCTTCGCAAGACCCATTCTTCCGTGATGCCGAGCGTTAAAAATCAAACACAATAGCTAAGCAAAAAAAAAGTGAATGTTCCTGGCGTGTGATCAACAAGCGATGGTAAAGCTCATTGTGGGCTTATTTCCCTTCCTTCATGGACTCAAGGTTGGTCTTATCCACATAAGTCTTCCGTCCTTGTCACAACAGACCCTTCTCACTTCGTGCACGCGGCCTATGGCATCGGCTTTGTAAGCGTAATGTGCTTCCAGAGAAAGCCAGTAGTTTCGGCTTCATGCATTTCAGAAAGGGGAAAGGAAGCAGATCCACCTTCTCCGCAAATTACGTATCGAATGCAGTGAAATTCACCTTGGTCGCAGTACTCAAGCCTAAACTTCACGCTCTTTTTGGTTGTTCTAGGAACGCTAAGGGCTCTCACCGTCAGAAAGCCCGTGTGACGCTCAGGCCCCAACGTCTTGAAGGCTGCCCACGATCCGACACCAATGTAGCGGTATTGGTCTCCGCAGCAAGAGTCGCCGGCCAGGCAGGCACGATACCTACTCTGAAGGGCCGCACGAAGCGGAGAGTCTCAAGTTGCTCAGTGTCTACGAACCGCCAGCCTCTCAAGTGCACCCAATACCCAAGTCAGCCCTTTGCATTCACACCTCGAACACCGCCGTCCTGCTGGGCACATCGATAATGAAGCTCATGCGTCACATTGATGGTCCCAAAGAGAGAAGTACTCTCCCTCCGAGAGAGTAGAAATCAGAGGCTCTATCCTTTAGGAGGCCCGAGCCTTTCGTGAGTGGCGAACAGCCATCATACCAGCGACAAGTTTTAAGCAAAAACGCTTGGTGATCATTCGGCTCGTGCACGTGGGGCGGGCGTCACACGGCGTGAAGGGGCGAGAGCAGACGGGTGCGCCGCACTCCGAGTCGGCCTCTCATGTTTGCTCATGTGTGGTGACTGCTACGCATCTGCGCCTCCGTGATTCGGAGGAAGAGGAGGAGTATCACCTGTCAAACGGCGCGGTGCGTCTCTCTCTCTCTCTCTCTCTCTCTCTCTCTGCCATAGGACATTGGCAGTGCCTTGATGGTCGCACACGACCCCGCCAAGTTCGCGTCAGCTTCTACTTCACGTGTGTGAAAGCAGCCACGCTGCCCAAGCGCCAAGCGTGTCTGCTCGCCACGGTAAGGTGCTTCATTGAAGATGTCCTTCATGGCGGAAGAAAACATTCAAGGAGTGGAATGAAAAAGCAGTGCGATTTTTCAAACCGAAGGAACAACAGACACGAGGCATAACAAGAGTCGCAAAGGCGCATCTTTTTCCCCCACAGTACCGCTTCTCATCTCGCCAGGTGCATCCTAGCCGCAACCATGTGCCCTTCACCAAAGTGTGAAGCACAAAAAGAAAAGAATGAAACTACGGGGCATCCTTCAGCACGCCGCAGTCCGACACGACAACGGTTTTCGTCGGCTTGCCGTGCGGCGTGCCACAGTCCTCGATCGCCTTGGCGTGCTCGAAGCCGCGCAGCACCTGACCAAAGACAACGTGCTTGCCGTCGAGCCACGGGCAGGAAACGGTGCAGATGAAGAATTGCGAGCCGTTGGTGTTACGGCCGGCGTTAGCCATGGAGAGAATACCCGGGCCCTTGTGTTTGCCGGCCTTCGCCTCGAAGGATTCATCCTTGAACCGGACGCCATAGATGGAGCAGCCACCTGTGCCGTTTCCCTTTGTAATATCGCCGCCTTGAATCATGAAACCGGGGATGATGCGGTGGAAGACAGAGCCCTTGTAGTGCAGCGGTTTCCCCTCCGGTGTGTTCTTTGACGAGCCGCGGCAGAGCTCACGAAAGTTGCGCGCGGTGATGGGGACCGTGTCGTCGAAGAGCTCGATCTCGATGCGGCCGATGGGTGTCGTTGCTGCTGACCCGAGCCATGAGCTACCGTCCTGCGTGGCGGTATCGAGGTAGACAACAGAGTTGCGGGCGTTCTGCGGGTACGGGCTCGTATATGCACCGGCGGCGTACGCCGTGCCGCCGAGGAGCACCTTTGCCGCGCCGCCGAGGAGAAATGCAGAGAAAAACCGGAGAGGCATGCCGCACACTGTTGCTGCTGCTTGTATTCTCGCTCTTCTCGCCTTGGCTCCACACACAACCACACACACACACACACGCACGGGCCCTATCTATCTATATGTATCCCTCGCGGTTGGAAGTGGGTAGGACGAACAGAGAGGGACGGTGGCACTTGGTAGCTCCGCACACACTTCGCCATCATCCGTCACGCAAGCAACATGACACGAACAAACACACACACACAGAAAAATAAAACAACAAAGCAGAGGGAAAAAAAGAAGTGGTGGGGATAGCGTCAAATCGATGAAAGCTTCGGTTTCTCATTTCCTTCATTCCCTGAGTTCTTTGTTTGTCGTTTCGGCTCCTCTCCTCAATTCGGCGCTGTGTGCCCCTTGGCTTCTCGCATTGGTTCCCCCCGCGCCGTGAGCATTATTGTTACCCGTCACTTAGTCGCATCATATATCCGTCTCTGGCCGCGCCTCGTCGTCGGCGTCGTTTCCACCGCGACGGCGACGGTGGCGTTTCCGCGGCGCCTCCTCGTCCCCACCCTCAGCAGCAGCGGCATCACCATCGGCCCCTCCGCGTTGCACCTTTCTGTGTGCCTTGAAGCGGCGGAGGTTGAGCTGTTCGACGTCCTGCTTGCCGACGTGCAGCTGCCCGCGCAGGTTCTGCATCGCGTCGCTGCTGACGTTGGCCGCCGTCGAGCGCAGCGTCGCCGCGACCTCTCGCGGCAGCTTCGTCGCCACCTTGAACTCTGCCGGCGTCGCGAAC